AAAATGGCATATTAAATATGAATGGGTACATTTTGATAAAATAAAAGTAAGAATGATGCTTTGCATGGGGATGGCTGAGTAAGGTTCTGGTTCACAAGACATGAAAACGAATATGTGAAGTAAGTGGAATATTTAGCTTCATGGAACATAGAAGGTCTAACTGTGAATCTTGGTGGTGCTATTTTGCAAATATATTAAAATTGCATTCTCCCCCCCATATTTCTTAAGTCTTTGTGTATAGCCTGTGCCAACCATGCTGAGGTGTCAGCATTCTTCCTCGGTGACCATTGATTCTGGGCTTAGGCTACAATTCAAGTCTTGAGCACAGTGCCTATGTTGACAAGCCATTGTTGTAGCTAGAGAGCATTGAATCTCAGACATGCTGTCTTCAAATGAGGTTCAGTCTGTGTCTTCAGTCCAATATTAAAAGATCCCTGAGCATTTCAAAGAGCCAGCATAAATCTGATATCCTCCTGTGCTATAAGTTCTATTTTTGAATTATGATGGCCAAGCAGATAGGAACACTGATTAATTGCCTCATGTATGCGGCTTTTCTTCATTTTTTAATTGAAGCTTCTGATCCACAAATTGATTTCATGTTCGTCTTCCCATGAAATCTTTTTTCTGAAATGTTTTGAACTAAAAATGAATATTAGTACTGGTCTCTAGTGTATCATTCAAAGATATGTTGTACTTGCCCCATGCCTATTGCTTCATAATGCTCCCAGTGCTATCCTCTGCAAAGTGACAGAGAAATTATTGTTTTAATAAATGTATTTAATAGAGCTATGCTTTATCCCAAGAAATATTGATAGTTAACCATTACTAGCTGCTTATTCATTCAATATCTTCTTGTATATCTTCGTTTTTCAGATTTGGCAAGATTTTATGTTTGCCTGTGCACTTTACCCAACAGACCAAAGCTTTATAAATTCAGTGAAGGCAGAAATTACTCATCAGGTTTGTAGATTAAAATTCAGATAAGAAATCCATTTTTGCCCTAATTTAGCAAGCTTTTAAAAGCATTCAATGATTTTAAAGCATTCTTAGACTTTACTACAATGTGTGAAGTTCAGAGAAAATGAGGTGAAAGCAGTTTTATCCTGCTCCTAATATAGTGAAGTAACCCGGGATCACTGAAAACAAAGTAAATCCAAGACAACAGTAAAATCTAAATAATGTGCTCATTGTTTGAACCCTGAAATCAGTGGTTTCCAACCTTCTTAAACTCAAGATCACATTTTGAATTTAAATGCAACCCAGGAATTACCCAGAAGAAAATATAGAATAAACAGTTAATTTTTCAATATGTTTATTGACACCAATGCACTGATTATGGTTACCGACTGCGTGTGCACACGATATTAAGACTTCTTTAAAAATTAAAACAAAAGTTCTGCTTTGTTTAACATTTCATTACTTTTGCCTGATGCACTATTTCGTTAAAAATGTATCATTAATTGGTATTTGACACCCTCCTGAGGTAATGTATTTGAGAAATATTGCTGCTAAATGCACATCTTCTTTACTATCAACAAGCAGAGCCTTTATTTTTAGATCCATTAATTCTAAATCAAAGTGTATTTAGTTATTAATTTGTCCTCTACTGACCAAGTCTCAGTGTGACACATGTGACCACACATTATCTGCTGGTGCTTTGAAGTCTGGATTGTAGTTGGAGCCTGCTGGTTGAGTACAGCAAAATGTGTATCTGTTAGGCGGAGGTGATGCTTGTCTTTATCTTTAAGATTATTTTTATTAAGGAGAACGCTATCTCACACGTGTATGTGGGACAAAAGTAGGCTTTCACTTTAACAGAAGACGTAGATAAAAACAAGTACTTTTCTCTGTTTGAAGTCTCCAAAAATCACTGTCCCTGGATCTTTAGCTCAATGTCAGTTTGCATAGGAATTATCTCCATATCAACCCCACTCCTATGTAAATCAAACATCTGATGGCATCTGGTATCCAACCCAGCAATGTCTATTTGAAGGAATGGATTTGAAACAAACATGGCGATTTTTACCATTATGTAAATTACTGAAATCATTTGTTGAACTTCACTGCTAACTTCCTCGGGTGTTTTTCTCATTTGTCTTCGACTTTTTCTCATACTTGGATGTGTTACAAGGGGGAGGTTGACCCCCTCTGAGAACCAAAACCGAAACACCCAAAGAGGAGCACCTTGCCCTATAATCTGTTAAAGAGGAGTGTGAAGAGGGGTGTAACCTGTCTTTCAGCAGCTTCTAGTGATTAAATAAAATAAACCCCTGACACTCACTTTACAATCGACAATTTATTTTTCTACCTCTTAACAGTGAACAAATTAACTAAACTATTAACAAACCGAACTATTCCCGAATAAATCAGGATTCTAATAGTATGCTGTTCTATATAACAAAACAATAGAATTTAGTGTCTCAGAATTACAGCTGGGTTATGTCTTCTGAAATGTTCTGTCTTCTCCGTCAATTCTCCTGTCAGGAATGCTTTCCCTGTGAATTCTTCTATCAGGATTCTTAGCTAGGAGTGCTGTGGTACCATTGTGAATAGATGGTGCTTTCTCTAAGAGCTGAGGGCTGTTATCTCTAACAGATGGCAGTTAGCTCTGCCAATTTTCCAACTGTCCCCTTTTATACATATCAGTTTCTTACAATCAGATTGGTCCTAGGTTGTCAAAACCATCAGATTCAAATTTGATAGGTTTTTGGTATCTAAGTGCCTTGTTCAAATTGGCTAAATTCAAAAACCTGTTGTCTTGGTAAAAATGTTGCTTTGCGTGCTAACAGTATGGCCTTTCGATACAAATGCTTCAATTCTAGTGCTCTCTGAAGTTGCAAACTTTCAAGCTGCTCACAGATATCTCCAAGCATAGAAAAAGCACAATCTTTTAAAGGGACCATGCAATGCTTTCCCCTCTAGCATTTTATAAACACCAATATTTTACAGACACCAAATTCTAACGTCCTGCCTTCCAAGCCACCAGTACTCTACCCCACTTGGCAACAGATGGTATTTTAATGCAATGATCTGACAAACAAGATGAGTTGAAGGCAAACATTAAAACATGGGGGTATGATGTAATTGCTATCATCGAGATATCGTTAAGAGAGGGGCAGGATCGTCAGCACCGTACTCCAGGATATTGGGTCCACAGGCAAGACAAGGAAAGGATGTTTTAATATTGATCAGGGAATCAATTACAGCAGCAGGAGGGATGATATCTTAGAAGCTGTGTGGATAACACTGAAAAAATAAAAATGAGCAATTACATTGCTGGGAGTGCACTCCCTAACAGTCTGAGAGAAATAGAAGAGACATAGGCAAGTTTCAGGGAAGTGTAAAAGTAATAGGTTAATGATAGGGGATTTCAACTTCCCCAACATTAATTAGGTAGTCGCAGCGTGAAAGGTTTAGAGGGAGTGGAATTCTTAAAATGGAGAGAGCTTTGCGTAGAAGGTTTAAAGTGAGGGGTCTTAATTGTAGGTAATGAAACTAGGCAAGTGACTGTAGTATCAGTGGGGGAACACTTTGCTGACAGTGTTTATAACTCCATTAGATTCACGATTGTTATGGAAAAAGTCAAAGATGGACATCTGTGACACTTCTGGAGCAGGTGAAACTTGAACCTGGGCCTCCTGGCTCAGAGGCAGGGATGCTACATCTGCAGCACAAGAACCTATTAGTCACTTCCTTGTCTGAATTAGATTTGCAGCCCTGAAATTTTTTGCAGGCATCAGTCTGCACAAATTTCTTTAGCTACGTGGGTTTAAGGAAGTATTTCACTGACTTTTCTTTTCAGATCCGTCGACTAAAATTCCATCCATCCATTATAATCTGGAGTGGAAATAATGAAAATGAGGCTGCACTTGCATCAAATTGGTTCCATATTCCATCATCAAACATCACACTGTATCTAAATGACTATGTTAATCTCTATGTTAGTAACATTCAAGAAATTGTGCTTGAGGTAAGGACCTATTTAAGTCACTAAATTTCAACATGTTCCGATTGTTTGGAAATAAAAATAGAAATTGATGGAAAAACTCAGCAAGTCTGAAGAAATGCTACTGGCCCCAAAACATGCTGCTTTCTATCTACAGATGCTGCCAGATATACTGAGTTTTTCAGCAAATTCTGTTTTTGTTTCTGATTTCCAGCATCTGCAGTTCTTTGGTTTTTTGTTTATTGTTTGGAAAACTGTGCCGATTGTAACCTAAAAAGTAATGAAAGTTGTGCATCCATTATTACATTGAATTTACAGCATGGAACCACGCCATTCAGCCCAACAATATCATGCTGATGTTTACACTTCACTACTTCATGTCACCCATTCCTTATCCTTTTATTCCTTTCTCCCTCATGTGTTTATCAAGTTTTCGTTTAAGTACATTTCTGTTAGATACAACTTAATTTGTGTGTAAAATACATTTCTGAAGAGCTGAAAATATAAGGTTTGTTGGTGAATACTTATTATTTGCAGTTTAAGAAAGCAGGTTGTCTTCTGGATAAGATGTATGGAACATCTTAGGCAAAGACCTGAGGGGTAGGTGTTTTTGCACTGTCACTGGAACTTGAACCTTATTTAAGTCAGTCCTGATCAGAGGTCATTGACCTGAACGTTAATTCTGCTTCTGCCTACACAGGCGCTGCCACACTTGCTGAGTATTTTCAGCATTTTCTTGCTTATTGAAGATCTCTCAGATAATATTTAAATTTTTAATTTGTTTTTAGTATACAAATCTTTATTGTGTGCCTTGTTTACTTAAACTGGGTCAAAAGCGTAGGTTATATTTAAACCCATTCTGAAGAAGTATCACTGGATCCAAATCATTGACTCTAATTTCTGTTCGCAGATGCTGTCAGACCTGCTGATTTTCTCCAGCAATTTCTGTTCTTGTTATGATTAGCAATATTGGAGTAATGAAATAAGATGCACAAGAAGCCCAAATTAGGAGAATGTTGAGATTTCAGAGAGTTATAGGATTGGAGGAGGCTACAGTAATAATATTCTGAGGTGCATTTCTTGTTGAGGTCCCCTACACATGCAGACCTTTGCCTTTCTCCTGCATTTTCTGCTTCCAGTGAATTTCCTCGCCAGGTGTTCATTTTCTTCCAACACTGTCTGCTCCTGATGTAGCTCTCTGTCTTCTCTCTTCAACTCAGCATTAATGGCATATTGTTACTCACGTATTTACTGTTTTCAGTCTGTACTCTTTGCATCTGACCGTTAATTATAACTACAGGAAAGTTCTGTTTTTCAAATGTCATCTGACTTTAAACACCTATAATTCAGCATGGATTGTTCAAGGAGCAGTGGCTCAGGTTGAGGGCTGTTAGATGTTTATTCCCGTAATGAGCACTGCCAATTTCAATGTTGTCAGCTCGGTTTTTGGTGAATTACTGCATGGTACAGAAGTTGCAAAGATTGAGAAATCAAAAGTAGGAACTAATTTTGTGCTGTTGCTGAAGAATCCACTAATCTATGTTATGATCCCAGCTGGTGTTGTGACTGGGCAGGTTAATTCCCACAATAAAACCTAGTGTAAAAGATTATATTTGTTTTTTTCTTAATTAATCTAAAGTGGTTGCCTTTCACTGAAAAATAAGCACACAAGCTGCAGATTTGATTTTAACAATAAAGCAAGGTTTATGACACAAAAGAAACAAAAACAAACAAAACAATCCAAGCTATCTAAATATGACACAATTTCAAGGATTTCAAAACTCATGGAAAAATAACATTCCACCTACTCCCCAACATCATCACTTTACAGTTACTCAAAATCCAGAGACATTTCCCTTGCCTGTCAGTGCTCAAGTCAGACCACAGCTGGAATACTGTGAACAGTTTTGGGGCCCTTATCAAAGGAAAGATAAAATGTCATTGGAGGCAGCCCAGAGGAGGTTCACTCGGCTGATACCAGGTATGGAGGGACTGTTCTATGAGGAGGAGTTGAGTTGGAAGGACCTGTACTCATTGGAATGTAAAAGAATGAGAGGTGACCTTATTGAAACATGCTAGATTCTTGGGAGGGGGTGGTGGGTGCTTGACAGGGTAGATGCAGAGAGGTCGTTCCCCTTGTAGTTGAGTCTAAGACCAGATGGCATTATCTCAGAATAAGGGTCAACTATTTAAGACAGAGATTAGGAGGAATTTCTTCTCTTAGAGGGTTGTAAACTTTGCAGTTCTTTACCACAGAGGGCTATTGTTGATATTCAGCAGGGCTTGGCACAGTGGTAATGGGTTCAAATCCCATCCTGGTAGATGGCAAAATTTGAATTCAGAAAAATCTGGGATTAAAAAGCTAGTCTAATGGTGAGCATGATACCATTGCTGGTTGTTGTAGAAACCCTATCGGGTTCACTAATGCCCTTTAGGAAAGGAAGCTGCCATCCTTACCTGGTCTGGCCTACATGTGACTCCAGGCCCACAGCAATGTGGTTGACTCTGAACTGCCCTCTGGGCAATTAGGGATGGGCAATAAATACTGATCTAGCCAGTGACACCTACATCCTGTAAACAAACAAAAAAAAATTACTTGCATTTGGAAAAGAATGGATTTATTAGGGATAGTCAGCATGGCTTTATGCAGGAGAGGTCTTGTTTCCCAAATTTGATTGAGCTTTTTTGAGTAAGAGACAAAGATGATTGATGGTGGGGGGTAGGGCAGTGGATGTTATCTACGTGGACTTTAGTAAAGCATTTGACAAGGTCCTTACTGGTATGCTGGTCCAGAAGATTAAGTCACATGGGATCTGCAGTGAGTTGGTAAGTTGGATACAAAATTAGGTTGGTCATGGAAGACAGAGGGTAGGCGTGGAGGGTGTTGTTCTCACTGGAGGTCTGTGACCAGTGATATTTCGCAAAGATCAGTGCTGGGACCTCTGTTGTTTATAATAAATATGTGTAATTTGGAAGAAAATAGAGATGATCTGATTGTTAAGTTTGCAGACAATATGGAAATTGAGTGGTTGTGGATAGTGAGGAAGGTTGTCGAAGGATACAGCACAAAATACAACAGTTGGAAAGTTAGGTGGAGAAATGGCAGATGAAGTGTGAGGTGATGCATTTGGGGAGGTCAAAAGCAAGAGGAAAGTATACAGTAAATGGCAGGACCCTTAGGAGCATTGATATACAGAAAAGTGCAAGTCCATTGCTCCCTGAAAGTGGCAACATAAATGGATAACGTGGTAATGAAGGCATCCAGCATACTTGCCTTCATTTTTCAGGGCATTGAGTATAAAAGTTGGCAAGACAGTTGCGGCTGTATAAAACCTTTTAGTTATGCCACATTTGGAGTATTATGTGCAGTTGTGGTCACCAATGTACAGGAAGGATGTGGAGGCTTTGGAGAGGGTGCAAAAGAGGTTGCTGCCTGGATTGGAGTGCATTAGCTATAAGGAGAGGTTAGACAATCTTAGATTGTTTTCACTGGAGTATGAGAGGCTGAAGGGCGACCTGATAGAAGTATATAAAATTGTGAAGGTTTGGATAGGGTGGATAGTTGGAGAAATTCCCAAGGTGGAAAGGTCAAATCTAGGTCTAAAGTGAGAGGGGGAAAGTTTAAAGGAGATGTATGAGGCTTTTTTAATGCAGAGTGTGGTAGATGTCTGGAACATGCTGCCAGGGGAGGTAGTAGGAGCAAATACTTTAGCAAAATTTTAGAACCATTTAGACAGACTCATGAAGAGGCAGGGAGTAGAGGGATAGGGGCCATGTGGCGGCAGATGGGATTAGTTTAGAATGGCATCATGGTGGGCTGAAGGACCTGTTTCTGTATTCTGTTGTATGTTCATTTCCCGACTGGAGACCAAAAATGAAGCTCAATAGATTAGACTGGCCAAACGAGGAGAGGCCTATTCTGTTGTAAAAATGCTAATGTAAAATTATGTTTCACGTTTGTTGGATCTCTTACAAAAGGGTGTCTAAATTCCAGCTAACATTTCTTTCTGTTAGCGGTGAGTTTGACAAGAATGAATTGAATGTATCTGCGCTTCCTTATCCATTCATTGTTTTGAACAGTGTGTGCCTGATTTAATTTTACATTTCAGAATGAAAGGTCTGCCCCAGCCATTATTACTAATTTAGCACGCCAGTTCCTCTCTGTGCAGGTCAGGGAATCAAGATACGACCAGGATGAGAAGGTTATGCTGATGCAGTTATCGATAATATGGGGTGGGAGGAGTCTTGTGTGAAGCATGAACAAGTTGGGCCAATGTCCTGTTTCTGTTTTGTACACTGTGTAATTCTGTTCAATAAATGTAAAATGTATGTAACACATATTAGTAAACTTTGGTTACTTTGGTTGCAGTGTTTGCCAAAGTAGTGTGTTCCTCAAAGAAGAAAGCAGTTTACTCTGGCCAATTTTGAAGTGAATACCATACTTTTAAACCATACCGTAACTTGATCTGTGCCAAGCAACATCTTGACACAAAGTGCCTGTTAGGAATTGGGAAATAAAACAAGTTGTCTTCAGAGAAGCCGGTTGTTGCTGTATCCAGTTAGCTAAATTAATAGATTTGATAAAGATAAGTTTAACTAAACTGCCTTCCCTGTACTGCAATATCTCACATTGCAGTGGTGTGTTTTGTGGCAGTTTGAAAATCTATTTGTTGTGCTGACATTAAGAATATCTTGTGTTGCTTTACATCCTTGCAAACTAAGAAATGTTCTAAAAATAGACAGTGATTCTATTCCAGTCATGAGCTTTGAGAGGAAAAAAAGCATGAAGTAATACCACCCGGTGCTTTAGGTGGTCAGATCAGATGACTGTACTGATTTATAAATAGAATTCACTGGGATCTGCTTTGTTAGAAGAAATCAGTGCACAAATTCAATGCAGCTGTTATTTTTTTGGGAGCCAAATATATTTGGAAACTGTTTCTTTATTGATTCTGCTGTTCCCTTCTATCAGTAAAAGCTTCATCCCCATTGCCTGGTTGAACTTATTAGAATTCACTTCCTGT